AGATGAGATTCCAGAAGAAATACTTTCAATACTAGAGACAAATCGCAAAACGGACTATGTAAATTCTCTTGTTCTATTTCCTCATGTTTGTTTATGATTTTGATCTCTTAGGTTTCGTTCTCAGGCATACTTTCTTTGTTTTACTGATGGTTCTGTATTGGTTTTGACTTCATGGGTCGATGGATGAATCTCTTTGGTATAGTTCTCACGGAAAAATCTGTCTTTGAATCGTTTTGTTAGGGCTTTGATGTGAATTGCCCTATCTCGAAACGAATTAGGTCTCGTTATGGAGATAAATATGATATCGCCCTCTATGGTAGGCTTGGACTCCAGTGCTACAATCTTCAAAACGTAAGCTCAACAATTCTCTTTATGTCTTTTTTCAGCTTTTGTCTCGTCTTCGTTAGAATATACCTTGCCATGATTGTTCAGGGAACAAACTACAAGTATGTGCGCTGGCATAAGTTTAGCTCTGCGTTCATTAAAGACACCTACGAGTACATAACTTTGGAGGCTATGGATCCTGCCCGCAACTCGGTCTTCCTTTTTCAGACATTGTTCAGCGAGCTTATACCTACAAACGGCATCTATCATAAGTGGAGGATCTTAGCCTCCAGAATCGAATGTAAGTAATAATATATTACTAACATTCTCGCCTTTGTCTTTACCGTATCATAACACTGATCACTAGAGGACTAACAGTTTATAGAGATCACTTTTTAAAGGTGACAAGGCTGTGGATAGTAAATTTGACGAGGATACATCAATAGATGGTTTCTACAAAAGTGGAATGCTCAAATGGTTGTCTGATGAGGCCTTGGCCGGTGACAACAAAAAGTATTACGTGGTATGATCAAGTTTATTTTTGTTTAAGCTTGAGAAGAAGAAATGTAAACAAGGTAGGTAAATGCATTTTTGTTGATCATCATGGCAGGTGCAAGAATCAGAGTTGCGTGAGAATGACTGGCTGCAGCTACTCATGGAAATTGGATTCTTCTCGAAAGCTAAGTGTGTAAGTCCGAAGTCCTTGAATTTGCAATTTGCAGTTTTTCTCTGCCGGAAAATAAAGCAAGTGAGCTTTAACTTGTTGCCTCTTCCGTCTTACGATTGCCAATGTAATCGCAGGATGTGGAAGCTACCCCACCTTTGGAGATCAAGAAGGTAGTCATAGAAACTAAAGAAGAATACATAACAGAGGCGCGTGAGAAGCTCAAGGCAAAGGATGCAATCTTCTACATACGTTACAAGTATAATGGTGAACCTTCATCATCAGTTTGGGCGGGTGATCACAAGGCGATAATAAGGAAAACCATGGATGGTAAACCAGGGCACATGGGTCTTGAAGTTGCAGATGACGAAGAATAAACAGACATATGGACCTGGTCTGTTATAATTATAAGTTGCTACAGATTTGAAACTTTTTATCATGTTATTATATCTATTCACAATGTTGTGTTTGGCTTGTTTTTATTGTCTAATGTCTACAACTCTATGGACTAGAACGACATGATGAATAATGGTGTGTTTGTTGATATTGCTTGTTATATATTTTGAAGCCCATACAAGCCAGATCTAAGGCTGTGGCTTTCATAAACATTGTGACTGGCTCCAGCTATTCATGGAAATCACATTTTCCTTGAAAGCAAAGCGTGTAAGTGCAACAATTTTTGGGAAAATAAAGCAAGTAAGGGCGAGACCGCGAGATTCCACAAGTAAGTGCAATTATTTAGTTCAAAGCAGCTGAGAATTCTAAAACTGACTCTTTGGAAATAACAAAAGTAAGGGCGAGAGTCCCAAAAGGACAAGGTCAAAAGCGAGGACGAATACACATCATTGCATCCATTTCTTGCTTGAACTTAACCATTGCATCTCTCGGCAATGTCATTACCGCTCAAACGCCACCTTTATACAGCTTGGTTGGTCCTAAGATCATCCCCAAGTTCTTGGCGCTTTCTTGAAACATCAGACCTCTCATAATAACTGGCTCGTTCCACCCCAAATCCATCGATCCAAGGGAACTGATATTTCTCATATCGGTTACGAACAATATTCCATCGATTGCCTCACTGAATTCCACATCCTTCTTAATCATTCTCTCTGTGTTTCTTAGCTCCTCCTCGATATACCTCTTGCTATAAGCTTTTTTCTTGGCTCTCTTTACGAGTTTTACAATGTCAGGGACTAATGATTCATGGAGCTCTCTCGTTGTTAACTCGGTGTACATGATATATTGTGATTTTATGCATTCTCATAGCCTATATTCATATGCCATTGGAATTTATTATTTTACCATACGAAAATTTCTATAAACTCATATTATAATAAATATGTTCAAAATTTTAGCAAGTACAATATTTTATTACCAATAATCACGAGATTTGTGATTTTCGTAACAACAATAAGATCTTCCATATTTAAAATTTCGGATTTAAATTTAGCTATACATATAATTAAAATCAATATTTTTTTTAAACGTTTAGATTATCATATAG